CGTCCCGCTTTTGCCTGTTCTCTATCCTTCTCTCTCGGTTTGGCCTCGCGCCCTAACCCACGTCAAAAGAAAGAGAGAGGGAGAGGGAAGGGGGGGGGGGGCGTAAGCAAAGGAATAGTTATAACCAATACTGCGGTCTCTTCCGGGTTGTCATCAAGAAGTACGATCTTTGCCATCCACCCTCCAGTGTTACGGGTGAGATACACAATGACACCCACACAATGAGAAGAGTAACAATAAGAAAAAAACAACGAAGGATCAGTCACATCTCTGTCATCTACATACTATACACATAAGACTTTATTGCCTTCTTCTGTATAGCGTGTGTGAAGGTGCGCATATTGCGCACGCCACAGAAAGAGGGATGAGATGCGCATACACACATACAGATACACACAGAAACAAGGAAAAATAAAAAAATAAATCCCGGTTAGCCGCTCACACGGGGTTCGCGTCAGCTAAGACCCGCCCCCTTTTTTCCTCCTCCATTCCTACCCCCAACTAATATTCCTCGCCACCATGCACGCGGAGGCACGCACCTTAGGCATACTCATTTTGTGTGGGTTTTCACCCCACGCATACTTCACAGTTCCTGCTTGCGGGTCGTCGCAGGGGACGCACCGCTGCGTCTCCCCGTCGTATTACCGCCCCACTGGGAGCTCACGCTCCATGCATTCACACGCTTATCTCCGTCCATTCCGGAAACAATACACACCAAACGCGAGCGAAAAGACATGAAAAAAACCAAACCGAACCAAAACAAGAAACAATAAAGGAGGATGAAGAGGCGAAGAAAAAAAAAAGAAATACATGCGACGGGAAGACATGCGCAGGTGTGAGTTGGGCAGAGCCCGCTACAAGGAGAAAGCACTAAAAAACGGCGAGAAGACAGTCGCAGAGAGAAAGGGAGCAGGTGAGAGAGGAAATCGGTGTAAAAATACTAATGATAATAAATAGACGGAGAACATTCACATTGACAGGGAAGTTTATAAGGGCGGTGACTTGTTGTCGTCGCCTTTCTTTTTTGTTTCTTTCCGTTTTGTTTTTTTGCCTCACCTTCGTGAGCCGTAGAAGTATTCTGCACGTGGCACGCGCCTCAAGGTCTGCCGTCTTCCCTTGCTCTCCCTCCCCCCTCCTCCCTCTCTCCTTCTCGTTGTGCTTGTGTGCGCGTGTGGGGCGTTGCCGTTGCTACTGTGTGTGTGTGTTTTTTTTGGACAATTCCCGCGCGCATCACCTCGACCCGCCCATCGGGTAACCCTTCGGTTCGTTGCTCTCGGGGTTCGACAGCATCTCCTCGCAGTCCTTCACCATCATCTGCATGTGGGAGACGACGCGCTCCGTCGACTTCTTGTCGGTGTCGCCCATCGTATCCATCTTGTCCTGCTGCCGACTGATCTCTTTTTTTGTCATTTCCACGCAGCGCCTGACATTTCCACTGCGGGGCGGCGCATTTTTGACCTCGCGGATCTTGCGGCCCAACTCGAGGCAGCCGCGGTCCTCGGGCTGCCGCCCCGACACCAGCAGCGCGGTCACAGTGACGCTAGCGCCGCCAACGGCGTAGCGGAACAGCCTGCAAGGCTCGGAGGTGCTCTTTTCCCGCAGCCCGTTAAGGTGCGAGACCTCCTCCCTCGCGAGTGCCATGCAGAGAGAGGAGAGGTAAACGTCCTTTTCTCCACTGCTCTTCCGGGTTTGCTTGAGGACAAAGAAGCCGACCACCAGCTGTTTCTTTTTATCACTGCGTCCAAGGGCCTTTTCAAAGACGTCGACGCACTCCTTCGCGGATTTCACCGTCTTCCGCTTCATGTCGCAGAGACACGGCCCGAAGACAGGGCTGGAGCCGAGCTGCATCTTCTCGTAGCTCGCGTTGTCTTGGTTAAGAAGATCCCGAATGCGGTCAGAGGACTCTACCACGCCCAGCGTAACCGTAACATCAAAGTCGGTTGACTTTTCCAGCTTGTTCTTTTCAAGTTTCTCCAGACAATGCGTGAGAAACAGTTTCGCAAACTTCACAGAGGCCTCACCGCGGTCCTTGCCGCCTCCTACCAGGAGCGCCGTGGTGTGCCCACCAATCCAGTGCTCTTGCAGATCTGTAAGAAGCACAGAGTTCACTTTGTCTGACATCTTATCGCGCAATATACATTCATCATTCTCAAACGGCTCATCTTTTCCACCTTCTCTCTTGAAAAGAAGTGTCCTGGGGTCCTTGACAGAGATGCAGAGGTCCCTTTCTGAATCTCCTTCCTTGTCAACAAGAATGAGTGAGTGAATGTTGTAGTTTGATGGCACTTTTGCTGTCGTCGTCGTCGCCGTCGTCGCTGTCGCTTCCTCTTTCTTTGAAAAGCTTGTTTTGCGCACTATGAGAGGGGCAACTGTCGCGCCTGTCGATATGGACTCCCCATTATCACCCTTGACGCGGCGTTCAGCCAGCTTGCCACCACGCTGACCACTCCGCTTTAGCTTGACGTGGTTCTCAGTGGTGGAAATATTCGGGCACAGATAATCGTAGTTTTGACTGGTATCCAAGTAGTATCTGGCACCTGCAGCGCACGCGCTTTCAAGGCTCACCTCGTTCAAGCCGGCCCATTGAGCCGTGATACTCTCACCGTCGTACATACTGCCGTAGCCTGCACCGTACATGCCTCCACCCATCGCAGGACCCATACTGCCGAAGCCTGCACCGTGCATGCTTCCGCCGGTCGCAGGACCCATACTGCCGAAGCCTGCACCGTGCATGCTTCCGCCGGTCGCAGGACCCATACTGCCGAAGCCTGCACCGTACATGCTTCCGCCGGTCGCAGGACCCATACTGCCGAAGCCTGCACCGTGCATGCTTCCACCCATCGCAGGACCCATACTGCCGAAGCCTGCACCGTGCATGCTTCCGCCCATCGCAGGGCCCATGCTGCCGAAGCCTGCACCGTACATGCTTCCGCCGGTCGCAGGACCCATACTCGGCACATTATACGCACTTCCAAATGAACCACGACGTTGGAAAGAACCTTGGCGTCCAATGGCGTCGGGCACATCAGGAGCTGTTCCTCCAATCTCTCCCGCCTTCGCCACCTGCACACCCTTCCCCCCATCCCCAACTCCGGGATGCCCTTCTCGACCGGCCCCGAGGTTTGGACTCCCTCGAAGCCCGTCGTCTTGGACTCCTCGAGGCGGGGCGATGCCGGAGTTTCGACGGCCCTGATGCTCATTTTCTTGGCCCCCTCGTGGCGGGGCGTAGCTTTGGCTATAGCCGGACTGAAGGCCTGCTTGGGCGCCGTTGGCATTTTCCAACGCTCTGCCGTCGCGGGCGAGGGCGCTGCCTGTCACATTGCTCGGCGCAGCCCCTGTCCCTTTCGTGGCCGAGGCCTCAGTTCCTGACTTTCTCAGGATGGAGCTCTGACGCTGAAGGATGGAGCTCTGACGCTGAAGGATGGACTCTGTCGGCAGCCTCGGTTGCTGCGGAGCAAGTTGTGACATCACCCTCTTCGTTAACAAATTCCCGTTTCACGGGATTAAAGGCACAAAAAAACCTCAACTTCACCTTAGGGGCCAGTACGAAGAGGGAGGAGTAGCACAAGTGTGCGTGTGTGTGTGTGTGGGTGGGTGGGTGGGCTGGCGTGATTGCGTCACACGCGCCGGCGCAGACACCGACACCAACATCGGCACAAGACAGGGGTGAGAGGAATGGGGCGGGCAAAACAAGAAAGGCGGAGGTCTGAGGTTGGAAAATTTAAACAAAACACGCACGCCTACAGAGAGAGAGAGAGAGAGAGAGAGGAGGAG